TCAGATGAAAAAATTAAGAAATAAAAAAAAAAATGAAGAGAGACCTGGTAACTTCTTGCATTTTGAAATGCGATTACCTTTTTTCTTTCCTTCTGGTGACTCTTTTCCCTCTCTCACTCTTGCTGTTTTCCTCTCTGTTCTGACCTTTTTTCAGATGGATGTAAGACTAGAAACTACCTAGAAAGTGCACCGAACAAATTTTCTTCCTCCGGTTTAATACAGAGATGCCTAGTTTGTTTGAGAAAGCTGTTGGCAGGAGAGGTGAAGATGAATCGTTGGTGAAGACTAGAGTGGTGATCCAGTTTCCCTACAGCAAGTAAATTAAAATGGTCAGAGTTGTATAAAAGCAGAGTAATTTCCCGTTTGGAAAAAGGTGTCCCTATAGGTAAACTTTTGAAGAGATCCTTCGGTCTTCTTAATCTCTGGAGTTCTGGTTAATCCCACCTCCACTGAACTGGATTCTGCAGGTTTAACAGGAGATTATGGAATCCTCTTATATGTTTTCCCCTTGTGTATGGCCATTTTGTATTTTTATACTGTTGTGTGTTGCTATTTTTATTTAGTTTTTCAATCAGCTTTGGACACTATTGAATAAATCAGGAATTTTATGTCAAATGTTTTACTCTAGAACTATTTTAGACTCCATTCTTGTTTGGGTCCTATAATGTTGCTTCTTTATTTGGGTACAATTATTGTTGAGCGCTTGATTTATTAATTTTTTAAAAAAGCTTCCTTTAATCAGGAAGTTGCTGAAAATGCCTGGGAAAATGGAAATGCAAGTCAGGGTGGCAACCAAGTGCTTTTGCCTTCAGTTGGAAAGGAGTTGCATTGACAGGGAGAGCAGGAGACCTTGACAATTAGCAATCATTTCACAAAGAGGCCAGGGCTGCCTATATGAGCACTGTATCAGTGCAAAGGAAACCTATGAAAAACATTTAACAATCAAAGCTACTCCATTTGTAAGTCAGGCATATGGACAAGAATGGGAGGACATCAAAGGGAACAGACAATTGTTGAGCTTGTGTCCAAGGTGGCAAAAAAAAAAAAAGTAGTTGTATAAGATACAAGAGATCATAAAGTCAAGGGCAGAGAAATAGGCTGCCTAAAAAAAAACAATCTAACATTGAGCCAAATTTGATAAGTTGGTGTACTCGTGAATTCTTTCTTTTTCCTAAAGCTGAGTTGGATCTTTAAGTGACTACCATGTAACTTGGCATATGAGTAAAATTATCTGTGCCATAAAACTTTAATCCCATCCCAAACCTCCAGTCAAAAGAGTGCACCCATGGACTAGAATTTTTTCTCTCTCACTGCTGCAAAAATATAGACTGAAAGCTGGATTATCCACCATTTTTTAAACCTGCAATTGTAGAAAAGCTAACTGAATATATTATCAAAGCAGAACACCTTTATTGCAGCAGTGAGGTCATTATCCTGTTGTTGTTGTTGTTGTTGTTGTTGTTGTTGTTGGCAGCATCTATTTGTCTTGAGAGACAATGGAGTGCACCTCCAGGGGTGCAGTCAAACTGTTGCATTAGCAGCACTGAAATTACCTCTCTGGGGTGCAAGCCTGGGCAGTGTGTATGGAGGTTCTGGGTTGTCCAGACAACAAGACCCCTCTCTTGGCCTTGATGTGGTCCAACAGTAATCAGAGCAATACATTTGGCACCAGCTTGGCTGGAGGAGTTGCCGGAAGAAGGCCTACAAGGTGCCACCCAACCATCTTAGGGACACCACTCCTTTTCTTCTCCCAAAGATGACCTACAAGGCAGCAGAGGTTTAGGGCAAGAGTTTTCCTTCTCTTAGATGGGCTCTCTTTCCAGGTGGCAAGCCCCACCTGCCCTTCACTTCCCTCTGCGGCATGTGCTGACACCGTCTTCCTGACCGTTGGACCCACTATTGATCTTGTCCACTCAATCTACTGAAGCCTGTCTTGACACGCAGGGGAAGTCCCTAACTCACTGAACTTTGAGGCCCATTGGCTACCCTCACCTGGTTTAGCTGGCAAGTCAAAGCCGTTCCCAGGGTATGGCCGCTATTGCATGCTGACAGCTTCTAGGAGCTACTTAAGAGAGCTGAGTGCAGGATGGGGACCAAAGGTGGGCAAACTACTCCAGAAGGAACAGAACGTGTCCCCCCCAGAAGTACTTTCTTTCTTTTTCTCTTTCTTTGACAATCACTCATAGCCGAATAAGATTGCCTTCCATGAATATGGTTTTAACAGCGCATTCTTAAGTTGGTTTGGAGGCCAATTCTGGATCCACATGTCCTTCCACAGCGGGGACATAGGTTTCTGGGCAGGAGTTGATCACGGTGAGGATTTGCCAAGCGTGCCTTCCCCTTAGCTCGTTTCTCCCTTTCGTTCTGAGTTTCTGCTTCTTCAGAGTCCATGACGCCTTTGGCAGAGGCTATTCTCCAATTGATAGGGACGTGGGTGGCGCTGTGGGTTAAAGCCTCAGCGCCTAGGGCTTGCCAATCGAAAGGTCGGCGGTTTGAATCCCCACAGCGGGGTGCGCTCCCGTTGCTCGGTCCCAGCGCCTGCCAACCTAGCAGTTCGAAAGCACCCCCAGGTGCAAGTAGATAAATAGGGACCGCCTACTAGCGGGAAGGTAAACGGCGTTTCCGTGTGCTGCGCTGGCTCGCCAGATGCAGCTTTGTCATGCTGGCCACATGACCCAGAAGTGTCTCCAGACAGCGCTGGCCCCTGGCCTCTTAAGTGAGATGGGCGGACACAACCCCAGAGTCTGTCAAGACTGGCCCGTACGGGCAGGGGTACCTTTACCTTTTATTCTCCAATTGAAGTGCTCACAGGCCAGTGTTTCCCAGTTGTTGGTGTTTATTTTTTAAAGATTTGCCTTGAGAGCATCTTTAAACCTCTTTTGTTGTCCACCAACATTACGCTTTTCATTCTTAAGTTGGGAATAGAGTAGTTGCTTTGGGAGATGATAATCAGGCATCCGAACAACATGACCAGTATAACCAAGTTGATGTTGAATACTCATTGTTTCAACACTGGTGATCTTTCCTTCTTCCAGTACAATGACATTAGTTCGCCTGTATTCCCAAGTGATATGTAAATTTTTTTGGAAGACACCGTTGATGGAATCTTTCAAGGAGTTGGAGATGGCATTTATAAGGGGTCCATGTTTCACAAACAAAGTTGGTAGTACAATAGCTTTGTAAACAAGCATTGTGGTTTCCCTGCAAACGTCCGATCCTCAAACACTCTATGCTTCAATCAGGAGAAAGCTGCACTCACAAAGCTCAGGCAATGATGGATTTTGGCATCAATGTTGGCCCTTGGCGAAAGATAACTGCCTAGGTAGGAAAAATGATCAACATTTTCCAACATTACACCACTGAATTGAATTTATGGTGCTGCAGAGGGATTGTTTTGTGGTTGTTGGTGCAGCACTTTGGGTTTTTTTAGCTATTGAGTGATAGGCCAAGCTTTCCATAAGCTTCTGCAAGGATATTTAGGATGGTTTAGAGGTCATCCTCCAAGTGTGCACAGACTATGTTGTCTTCAGCATATTGAAGCTCTATGACAGAGGTTATGGTAACCTTACTCTTTGCTTTCAGCCTACCCAAATTGAAGAGCTTTTCATCTACCCTTCCTCTAACACCACACACAATCCTCTTCATTCTACACACTGTGATATTCTTGAAATCTACACATGCTCACAATTAAAAAGTCTGTTTACCTGTAAGCCATTAATATGGAAACAGATGTGCTCAAAGTAACAAAGCGAAGTTACCCAAAGCCACCTGTCCCTTGGGATGAACATGCACCCATTTCTTGAATTATACAGCTAGGGATTGTTTGCTTTGTACCACTGCTGCACATTCAGGGCTTTTGCCATACAAGCCCTAATTATGTTCTCAGAAAAACCGAACGTTCACTTAAATTCACATGAAGAAGAAGAAGAGTTTGGATTTGATATCCCGCCTTTCACTCCCTTTAAGGAGTCTCAAAGCGGCTAACATTCTCCTTTCCCTTCCTCCCCCACAACAAACACTCTGAGGTGAGTGGGGCTGAGAGACTTCAGAGAAGTGTGACTAGCCCAAGGTCACCCAGCAGCTGCATGTGGAGGAGCGGAGACGCAAACCCGGTTCCCCAGATTACGAGACTACTGCTCTTAACCACTACACCACACTGGCTCTCACACATGTCCATTTATTGCTACTTCATTGCAAGTGTGACCGAATTCAAACCATTTTAGCAAGGAAAGGAGTAATGGAAACTAGGCCAGAGGCCAGAGTCTACCACATGAAGTTCAAGGAGTCCAAAATCCCCTCTTTCAAAACAACTGCAGCTTTCGTTTCAGAATATGAAAATGCTACACACACTATAAAATTTCCCTCTACATAGCTCAAAGCAGAGTTCAAGATGTATTTTGAGAAGCAAAAACAAAGCCAATATCGAGAGCAATTCAATGGAACCTATGATAGCCGTTTTCCCAGACATCTTATGCATGGTAGACACTGACAGAGATTTTTAGACCCAGGCATAGGCCAATGATAGAAGTTCACACCAGCACCCAGAGGTCATCACTGGGTCCCACAAGTGTTCTTCATTTGCAGTGGACATCTATGGGTCACTAGAAAGCAGGGTCTTCCTAGATGGCATTACATTTCTCCTAAATAAGTGATGCATTGTTCCCCACCCCTTCAAGTGTTTACAAAATATGCACCTCTACTTTTTATGCTACAATGCATATAAAGACATGTAACAAACATCTGCTGTGTTTGGTGAGAAATAGCCCTCCAAAGTAGATCTTTCAGAATGCCTGCATATTTTCAAGTGAGGTTCACTTTGATATAAAAATGTTCTACTGCACTTCAGAACACACACAGACCATTTGCAAGAACTGAACTCTTGATGCTCGTTCATTCCTCTGCTACACTGTGTGTGGGTGAAGCTAAGTCTAAATACATCGCTCTCCTCTCCTTGTCACATAGCCTAATGACTTTCCTGGCAAGTCTGCATATTAAAATACCTGTTGCCGTGAACATGAGAAGCACAAAAGGCAAAGCTGTAATGGAGCAAGGTTGGGTCAATGACAGCGCCATTCTCCGAGTGTTCCATCAATTCATTCAGGTAGCACAGATGGCGGTGACAGCCCCTCACACCATAACGAGCACAGTATTCGTCCAACACAAAGACTTGGCCCGGGCTAAACCAACCCTGTAAAAGATGGGAAGGGGGAATGTGTTGCGTCATTAAATCTGGACTGTTCTTTTATGCACTGTTTTCAAATATTTTCAGAGAGAAAGAACAGAAAACTACAGTTTTTCATGCAATATACAGTGGAACCTCGGTTTTCAAACATAATACATTCCGGAAGACTGTTCGAGTTCCGAAACGTTCAAAAATAAAAAACTCAATACAGAAGCCTCAAAACGGAAAAAATTAATACAGAAAATTCAACCAGGAAGCCGTCTCAGAAGTTCAACTTACGAGGCGCATTTGAAAACAGAAGCATTTACTTCCAAGTTTATGGCGTTCCGAGTTACAAAATGTTTATCAACGAAAAATATAACGGTTCCATTGTATTTTTAATCAATGTGATTTGTTGTTAGCTCCAAAACTGACAGTGTCGTGAACAATATTTTGGCAGGGAGAGGAGGAGGGAAGAGAGGTATCGCAAACAGAAATGGATTAAAATGTTCAAAGTTATTTCCTGCAATATTCCCAATTCTTCCTGAGGAAGGAAGGTTAGAGGTTTCTCATGTTGCTTTCAGGAAAAATAATTTCAGGTGGGCAGTTTTCAGACTGAATATGTTCAATTTGAGAGAGTTGAAAGTTAGTTCCTCCTTGGCTAGGTGACACTTTTCTGCCTAAACATTTTGAAAGCTGGATGCACTTGGACATGCTCACCATAGAAATAATATACACAAAGCTTGGCTGTCGACAGTGAATAGATAATACTAAAAATTTACTTATTCTGAGGAACAGAAATGGAGTTATAAGCAGAAACAACTAAGGAGTGGTTACTCATTTCTTCACAAAATTCCCCAGGAGTTTTTTCTCACACTCAAGCTCTACCTGCACAACAGAAAGGTAGGAGTTTTTAAAGTTATCAAGTTAATATTGTGATAATCACTTTTGTTTTATAATTGCTTAGAAGCTCCCTACTGTTTACTGGAGAGTGCAATAAAGGAATTTCAGTATTGCTAATAGTTTAAATCATAGGTTATGTTTAAATCTAATTGTTTCATATTAGCTTGGTTTTGTTTTGAGGCGAATGTCGCTACTTTCATTTAATTTGCTGAAATGCAAAAGTTGGACGATTAAAAGTAAATTTTCAGCATCTGCAGACTGACAGAAGCAACGGTATGGCTAATTTATTTATCTTTTTCTAAAGTTGATGTATGTGTAAAGATTCGAAGGGAGCCTTTAATAATAGAACTCACTATTCTCACAGAAGAAGGAAAAAAGTGTGGGGTTGTGACTGAGTTCAGGTTTTTTTTTGGGGGGGGGGGAGCTGTGCACATGGGAAAGGCGAACAACCCAGAAGCTGTGGAACGGAATGTAAGAAAACGTTTGTCAAGAAAACTCTGGCCTATGACTGAAATAGGTCTAAATGTTTGTTCTGAGGATTCCATATGCTACACACTTGATAGAAGTACAGTGGTGCCTCGCAAGACGAAAAGAATCCGTTCCGCGATTCTCTTCGTCTAGCGGTTTTTTCGTCTTGCGAAGCAAGCCCATTGACAGCTTAGCGGATTAGCGCTACAGCGGTCTAGCAGCTTTTCGCGATCAGCTGTTAAGCGGCTTATCAGCGGAACAGCTGATAAGCGGCTTAGCGTCTTAGGAAAAGGGGGGGAGCGGAAAAAAAACTGCGGGGACTCGCAAGATTTTTTCGTCTTGCGAAGCAACCCCATAGGGAAATTCGTTTTGCGAAGCGCCTCCAAAACGGAAAACCCTTTCGTCTAGCGGGTTTTCCGTCTTGCGAGGCGTTCGTCTTGCGGGGCACCACTGTATGTTATTAGAGATCAAAGATCACAGGAGCCTGTTCCATTGAATTTCATTCAGAATTGCTAGCTATGTTCTTCTCTTAAGGCCAGCTGAGATCACGTAGCAACTTTAACTTGAGGGCTGGCAGCATATAAGTGGGCCAATGCAGATTCAGCAGTACAGTGGTGCCTCGCAAGACGAAATTAATCCATTCCGCGAGTCTCTTCGTCTTGCGGTTTTTTCGTCTTGCGAAGCACGGCTATTAACGGCTTAGCGGCTTTAAGAAAAAGGAAACAAACTCGCAAGAACTTGCAAGACCATAGGGAAATTCGTCTTGCGGAACGACTCAAAAAACGGAAAACCCTTTCGTCTAGCGAGTTTTTCGTCTTGCGAGGCATTCGTCTTGCGGGGCACCACTGTACAGTGGTACTGTTATGTACTGAAGTTCTCACCCTGGGCCAGCAGGGGGTTACTGTAGATAGTTTTCACTCAGGTCCACATATGCAAATAAGGGATTGAAAGTGACGTTCAGTGATTGGATAGTTACAGAAAATGGTTACTGTTACGTTCTAGTGGAGCTCTATATAAGCAGGCTGGCTGAACCCTTCAGTTCAGTTCTGTTCTGGCCTGTGAATAAACAAGAGCTTTTTGAAGAATCGCTGTGTTGTCTGATATGTTCACCCACAACTTAACAGGTACCTCGGGTTACATACGCTTCAGGCTACATACGCTTCAGGTTACAGACTCTGCTAACCCAGAAATAGTGCTTCAGGTTAAGAACTTTGCTTCAGGATGAGAACAGAAATCGCGTGGTGGCGGCGTGGCAGCAGCAGGAGGCCCCATTAGCTAAAGTGGTGCTTCCAGGTTAAGAACGGTTTCAGGTTAAGAATGGACGTCCGGAACGAATTAAGTACTTAACCTGAGGTACCACTGTAGTTTAGTTGTAGATAATTTTAGCCTCTCAAGTCCTATTGGGTCACCACAACTTAAGAACCTCATTTTCAGAGGCAAGGAATTACCACCCACAGGCTTTCTTTGGATAAATGCAATGATACTTGGAATGACTTTACGCAGAACATATTAGGTTACTGACAACTGCATGCCTATTAGGATAATAAGAATCTGCACATCTATATATTAATGTATGGTAATGTAACAGTATGGGTTTCTTTTCTTTTTCATTCTCACTCACTTTTTCTTTCCTCCCTCCCCCTCACTCTGTCTTTTAATAAATAAAATTCTCTTAATAAAATATTAATAAAAATAGTAACCAGTGAGGAACTTACTAATTTGACAGAGCAGGGAGTGAGAAGACTAGCTGGAGATATGAGAGGTATCTAGAGACTTCACATTCCCCAGAACAGCCCATAAACTCCATGTCTGCACACTTCCATGACTTTGCTCATTCAGGGAATGGTTTGCAGGTTCACATCTAATATGTTTTATTTTTATTTATTTTTATTATTTTTGATATTTCATTTATTTATTTATACTTTTCAAGTTTACACATTTCACTAATTTTACAATCATTCTGACATTTCAAAACTTGACTTTCTTTCCCCCTCTTTCTGTGGTTCCTTAAATTGGCTTTTAATATCTTCTGCATATCCAAAGCAATTTGCTCATTTATTCATCTTCTTTAAATATATACTCTTACAAAACTGCAATAATCCTGACAATGTTTTTATCTGTTTATAATTTATCTGTAAATATTCAATAAACCATTTCCATTCTTTTATTAAAAAAATTAGTTATCTTGATTTCTCATTCTTCCTGCAAGTTTCGCTATTTTGGCATATTCCGTAAGTTTTTGTATCCATTCTTCCTTTGCTGGGACTGCTGCTTCTTTCCATTTTGGGGCAAGTAACATTCTCACACCTAATATGTTTTAATTTAAGGGATATCTAAAAATGTTGAACATAAACTCTCCAAACATGGTGTTTGTATCAGAAAGTAAAGGTAAATGTAAAGGAACCCGTGACCATTAAGTCCAGTCGTGACCGACTCTGGGGTTGCGGCGCTCATCTTGCTTTATTGGCCGAGGGAGCTGGCATATATCTTCTCATATCACTCATGTGGCCAGCATGAATAAGCCGCTTCTGGCGAACCAGAGCAGTGCACAGAAATACTGTTTACCTTCCCACTGGAGTGGTACCTATTTATCTACTTGCACTTTGACGTGCTTTCAAACTGCTAGGTTGGCAGGAGCAGGGACCGCGCAACTGGAGCTCACCACGTCGCGGGGATTCGAACCGCCAACCTTCTGATCGGCAAGTCCTAGGCTCTGTGGTTTAACCCATAGCGTCATCAGAAAACCTGTACATAATAGTGGCATGTTTGCCAGGGGGCCAGGATAGGCGATGATCAGCATGAGCTTGGGTTTTTTGGTGAAAAATTACATCTTGGAATCAAGAACTACCATAGATAATCAGAATAAAAAATCCCCACAGCAGAGTTTACACTTCAGTTAATGAACTAGACCTCATATCGCATTAATTTATGTGCAACTGAGAAGGCATTTTTCAAGTTACTCCTAACCTCCACTTTCCCCATAAGTGGGATCATTCTTGTTGTGTAAGCAAAGCAAGCCAGTCAGCCAAGGCAAAGATTGATCAGTAGATAAGGAAGGATAGAACATGAATGTTGTTTAATTTTTCGTGATTATGCATCCTTGCGATTGCAGCCTCCACTCCTCAAATGCTCTATGCTTTCTTTTGAAAGTGGAAAAAAAGTGAAATTACAGAATACCCCTAGAGCGGTAAGTAATTTATCCAGGATTTAAGCCTACAAAGCTAACCTTGACTCAGCTGAATGCAAGCACAATAAATCTATTTGCCTTTCTTCCCCTGTGGTTTTGATTCTATTCTTTGGATTTCTTTTTCCTTCCCAGTCCATGAAAGAGGAGAGAATTACAAGATAGATGACATAATGCTTGACATCTGGCGAGCTAGATTTGTACCTTAAAATGCCTGTACAGGTGTTAGCAAATCCTACCACAGAGGGTTCCATATTTATTAAAGCCTTCTGTTTTTATTCAGCCCTCCCTAGAGGAGCTGATAAACCACGGTTCAGAGTCAGTTTGAGTCTATTCTCTTCTCTATTGAGTGGCACAGCAGTAGTCTTCAAGTGTATAATTTTCAAATTTGAAGCCAATCGATTGAAATCCTTTATCCCAACCTCACGCACAGTTATTAAATGAGTCTGGAAGAAAAGACCACTTTGCAACAACTATTTCTCACTTTTCTCTCTCTCTCCCCACTTCTTTTATTCCAGCCTTTTTACTCACCAAACAAGAATAGGAATCATTCAATCGGTGATCCAAGGTCTTACTCTGAAGTACTCTAAAGAGTGCAGCATGGTCAAACTTGCAAGGATTAGCAGAAATAAACTCATCCATGCCATGTTTCTGAGCGCGATCTGCATCTGATCATAGGGAGGAGAATGAATGTATGGATGTAGATTATTCCGCTTTAAGACAGGCTTTAAATTTAATTCAATAACAGCCTCATTCAAGTTGCATCTGCTCTTTCATGCCTCGCCAAACCCCTCCTGGATAAATACCTATCACAATAAAATCTAAGCAAACGGCAATGGTTTAAACATAGCAATGGATAAACAGGCAGCAGGCAGCCCCCTTTTCATGTAGTATGAACATTACCCCTACATAGACTTGAGACAGACTTAACAATCCATTCCGATATTTTTCAGAAAGGATGTCTGCTTCTAGAAAGCTTGTAAAATATTGGAACAACAGACTTACTTTCTGGAGTGCCTGTTTTCACAAGGTAGTAAGTGCAACAGAGATCTTGTACATTAAAAAACCCCTCACTATAAAGTTTTGAGGAGGCCTCAGCTTATGGGCATTACAAAGATGCTCATCAAAGACCAAAGTAGCAAGCAAACATGGCTTCAAGGCCATTTCTCAAATGGCAAACTGGAGCAGAAATGAACACACAGGCTTGAATGAGGTCATTTCCAGCCTTTTCCTCTTTACATGCGGCTTTTAATGAAACAAATATAATGCAGTAATGGGAAAGAGTGCCTTCAACCTTCCAGGATTGAGTAACAAAACAGGGAGCAATTTTTGTGTGTGTAAATTATAGACAACGTACCATCTTAAATGGCATTTCAGCCAGAGATCCGGACTTATTGTTGCTCACAGATTGCGTCTTTCAACGCCTTTGAACCCCGCGGGTTTGTCAAAAGACAAGCTCTGGTGATTGCATTCATTAATGGTATGTTTTGTCAAAATCCTGAATGCGAGTTGTCCACCAAGTATGGACGGAAAAAGCCTTACAGTGACCAAAAGGACTAGTTATGCATTAGCACATTAGCTCACTTGGATTCCATAGACAACATTGGGGGTGAATAGTTTGCTATCAACTCAAAAATTGACTTAACCCTTACAATAAGGTCTCCGCTCCCTCTTTGTTCGTTTAATTTCAAATATGGGTCTTTTTATGTTCGTTACTGGAAAAGATGCATCCTAAATGTACTTTTGACAAAACTGCATAGTAGAAACCTAAAATTTCTATAGAAAAGGAGACAAAAGTTTATTGATTAAACCCAATTATAGAGTTGGGTTCATAATAAAACTCCATATTGATCTGTGGGCATGATGCTAACATAATCAGTCACATTTAGAAATTTAGCCCCAGATCATATTGATCCATGTCAAGTCCAACTTTCAGCTGTATTTGCAGATGGAAGAATTATTTAATTCAAGCTGAAGGATCTGCAGTATCACGTCCCGAAAAGATGCACAAACTAATTCATATCACTTGGCTCCGCATTGTCAAAGCAAGAGTCACATCCATGTGACAGATTTCACCAAGGTGGATATAGCAAATAAACAGTGTGACAGTACATTGATGATTTAAGGTACGAGATGATCATCTGCAGAAACAGTAGTATATTTTTCCAGCGTTTACGAAGCAACACCATGAATGATTAAACACCCTTTAAGCTGCAATCCTGTGCACAGTTAAATCCCATTGAAGTCATAACATGAACGTACAGATAAGTGAAAGGTAGATTACATCCCAAAGGGATCACCACTAGTTCAAGGGCAAACAGAGTTCACTTTGTATATAAATTTACATGTCTTAACCAACAATAGATAATAAAAAACACAAAAACAAAATGGGAATTGGTCTTAAATTGCATGGCGTTTTATTTCCTGAAATCATATGGCACTAATGAAACATTTTGAACAGCTCATTACTAAAACTCTCCTCATTTTCAAACAATACTAAGAAGGTTTTTTTTTTACAATTCTTAGTATTGTTCATTGCATAAAATTAAGCAACTATTATCCGATGGCTCAGAAAAGCATGGTTTTGTCTTTTGTTTCTCATGCATAAGAGCTCAAGACAGAAATTTCCAAAGCATTCGTAGCCTTGGTCTTTCAGTACCATTCTTTTCATTATACAGTCTTTCAAAAACAGAAAAATGAAAATTAGTTTATGTATCTTTTTGGAAATGTATTGATGCAGCACAATGAAGGCATCAACTCCTTGTTAATATGGTCCCCTGCATATGTAATGCAGTTACATCAACCTAAATTGATTCCACGTTGTTGTGGCAGCCTATGACTAATACGATAAAATGAGGTTAAGCTGAATAAATATAGCAAGAATAAATATAATAGGAATCATTTCCTAAGGAGAAGAAAAAGCACCCAATCCACAGTCAGGGGTCGCAATGGGCATTGTTCAACAAAAGCCATAACTTGCATGGTGTCTATATGTTTTTATGATAGATAGCAGACTATTTTTTTTAATAACCCACTTTTTATTTCTCTCAGTGGTCTTGGTGATGGAAATGGAGCAGAGGATCACCCACCAAAATAATCCCATCAGCTGCTGACACTCTTAACAATGGAAAACCAGCAAGAGTGAGAGGGGCTGTCTGCTTGACTCTACCACAGGCAAACTTGGCCCTCCAGATGTTTTGAGACTACAATTCCTATCACCCCTGGCCAATGGTCCTGTTAGCTAGGGATGTGGGAGTTGTAGTCCCAAAACATCTGGAGGGCCAAGTTTGCCTATGCCTGCTCTACCATCCCTTGTGATAAACCATGAAGCAGCAGCTTGGACCGAAAGATGAGTAAGTGTAGGAGGTAACTTCATGAGATATCAACCACTGACAGGGATCCTGGAGGTCAATAACTGCTAAGTGATACCTTTGGTTCTTGCAATACCAGGCGTTTGGCTACTGTACTGCACTCCCGGGTGTGAATGACTCTTCCCATAATTTTATCCCAGAAGACCACAGCCAGGATCAAAACCCTTTTATGCTAAACCTGCAGAATCTTAACAATGTCACTATACAGAGCCCCTTTGGTCCTGATCTTTATGGCTCGCTACATAAGGGAATGGAAGCAGAAGGGGAGATTTGTCAAGGACTGCCAGGCATCAGGGAATCCGATCCCTCCACGGTAGGCTGCCAGGAATACAGACAAGGAAGCTCTTACCAATGTCTTTCATTCAATATTCACACAGAGAGGCTTAGAAAAGCAGCCACTTGGAGTAATGGCATTGCCACCCCCTTCTCTCCTCAATCATCAACAGCACCACCCACCTTACGGTGGCTGCTGAGGGCCATTTGCCTACGAGCCCTTACTTTCAATGCTTGCCGGGTTCTGGGAGAAAAGGGTCTGTCAGCCAGCTGCTCTGGCTCTGCCTCCTCCTCCTCCTCCTCCTCCTCCTCCTCTCCCATTATTTCCCAACGTTGCTCTTCATCTACCTCTGAGCCGTGACCTCCTCAAGCCACTGTTGTAAATCTATACTGTCTTCCTCTTCTCTGGAAAGTTTAGGAGGGGGAGACAGTCTCCACTATTCATCCTCTGCCCAGTCCCTGACACGGACATGACAAGGGTCCCATCACAAACATATCTCCTGTCTTTTCCACTGGCTGTATCGTTAAGGATGTGGGTTAATGGAGAAAGAGGCCTATTGTCATGGTTCTGGTTCATGGGCGGTCAAAGTCCTGGCTGGGGATGTCAGGACTGGGGGAAAGATAGCGGGGTGGGAGCAGGAACGGGAGTCCAGAAGCCAGGAGTCACGAAGCCAAGGGTCCGAGGATCAAGAAGGAAGGAGTCACAAAGTCAAGAGTCCAAGGAGCAAAGGAGCCAAACGCAGCAAGGCAGGAAGCGTGTTTCTGTGGCAAAGAGCCAAAGGGAAATGCTGACTTTATATCCCTTCCCAGCTCTTGCCACCAGGTGCTGTGAGTTACCAATCAGCCTCACCTGTGTGGCCACGCCTTGCCTCTTCAGAACAAACTTAGGAAAGCCACAGTTCTGCAAAGACTTACTAGTCACAGGGCCTGGCTCCTGCACGCACTCCTGACACCTATCATCCAATCCCAAGGAGCATTGCTTTTCCATTTCAAATTTATTGACACCATTACAATCCCCAAAAGAAAGGAGGTCATCTCAAGCGGACACTAGGACAAGGGTGCTGTTTTGGATGGAATAGCAGCTCTTGCTTTCCTCTCTGGTTCTCTCCCTGGCAAAAGGGTTATTTGCAATCATAGAACTGTAGAGTTGGAATGGGAGCCAAGGATCATCTAGTCCAACCCTCTGCAATCTCAACTAAAGCATCCATGACAGGTGGCCATCCAACTTCTGCTTAAAAACCTCCAAGGAAGGACAGTCCATCAACCTCAGAGGGAGCCTGGTTCCCCTGTTGAACAGCTCTTACTATCAGAAAGTTGAATCAGAATTTCCTTCCTTGCAACTTGAATCCATTGGTTCAGGTCCTAGCCTCCAGAGCAGGAGAAAACAAGCTCCACATGACAGCCCTTTAGATGTCATTATCTCCTCTAAGTCGCCTCTTTACCAGGCTAAACATACTCCATTCCCTCAACCACTCCTCATAAGGCTTAGTTTCCAGACCCTCAATCATCCTCAGATGCAGTTCTGGCTGGGAGCTTTTTGCCATCGCTTCAGCCACTGCCTTTGTGCAGATGTTGCACAGCTGCTGAGCAATGCAAAGTCCCAGATCAAAAATATGCATTACAATATAGAACCACTGGAGAAAAAAACCAACCACAACCCTCACCACAACACTTTTTTTTATTTATTTAAGGAAATACTGTTTCCATGGAAATCTGCATTTGAGCTCTAAAAGTATCAGCTGTACATTTTCAAAGGTAGCGCAAGCGTGGTAATGAGCAGCAATCAGGCATTTCATGACACAAGCTGTCGGGAAAGATCAAGTTCCAATACTGATTAATGACAGTAATGAAGTCCTAAAAGTAAAAAACAAAAACAAAACAAACTTACTCTGCAACACATCTGCCTGCATGTTGCTTCCTTTTGGGTTCATCTTCTGGGCTTGGCTTGCAGGAATGGGCTTATAGGACTGACCTGTTGCTCTATACATTGCCTGAACCCAGAGGATTCTATCTTGCTCGTCGTCACTGGCAAATATCACCGTGTCGCCTTCTTTGACTGCATTAAAGAACATCTGACCACCCTGGAGACCTGCAAAATCAATCAGTTATAGTCTCCGATTCCAATATGACTTTCATTCCAATATGATCAAGGTTGGAACATAAAAAGGAACCAGGCCACAGAATGCCACAAATATTTGCTACTTAGGGGCTTTACAGAAAGCTTCTCCTGCCTGCCCCTCTTTCTGTGACCCTTAGCTAGTTTTACTTTGCAATTGAAGAGTTTTTGTTTTTGTTTAGCTACATGAGATCATTTGCAAGAACAGTTGAATAAATAACGAATAAGCATCACACAGCAAAATACCTGCATGAGGCGCTGTATAGTCCACAGTGTATCCTTCGAGCTGCATTAACTCCTGGGGCTCAGATTTCTTCTCTCTGTAGCTGCACATTGCAAATGTGTACTGGCTAACCTGAGTTTAAAAAGAAGTTGGATTGGATACAGTTCATGACGTCGTATTGTACTGCAACTTGCAGAAGACTGGTAAGATACAGCACCCCAACTCCTTGGTGTGTTGCAGATAAGCTACCCAAAGCTTATCTAGTTACAAATCACTTTTCACATAGATGAGAAGGAACAGACTCTTCCAATTGTAGAGTTGGAAGGGACCCCAAGAGTCTTTCAGTCCAACCCTCTGCAATGCAGGCATCTCAACCAAAGCCTCCATGACAGATGGCCATCCAACCTCTGCTTAAAAACCTCCAAGGAAGGAGAGTCCACAACTCTCGTGGGAGTCTGTTCCACTGTCAAACAGATCTTAGTGTCAGAAAGGTCCCCCCCTCCGATGTTTAGTTGGAATCTCCTTTCTTGCAACTTGAATCCATTGGCTTGGGTCCTAGCCCCCGGAGCAGAAGAAAACAAGCTTTCTCCATTCTCCACGTGACAGCCCTTGAAATATTTGAAGATGGCTATCATGAAGATGTCCTATTACTTTCACATGGACAGCCTGAAATGGACTCAATGCATCAGAGCAAAGCTACGGTTTAGTCTTTCAATGACAAATGCATTTTGGCACTGGGGATAATAGATAATGCTACCGATCTCTTTGCAACATTAAGACTGTAGTGATATCAAATTGATTTGATTTTATAAATAAAAAGGATGAATTTTGAATGAGCCGAAGTAATATTTAAAGAAATACCCATTTTTTTAAATGACAAAAATTGGGCCACTCTGATCTGTGAGATGGTCACCCATGTTGTCCTTCTCTTTCTGCTAACATGTACCGTATAACTGTTTCTTGTCTTTGGGGAGATGGGCTTCTCATTTTATCTGGTGGGGTGGGGGTGAACTGAGAGAGGATATGTATTTGACAGGTATGGCAAGGAAGTGACTTATCACCATTAGCTATAAATGGGAGGGCGTGGGCTGAGGCTGAGAGAAAAGGGTGTTCCTCTGTGAAAAGCTGAGAAAAATAAGTGTGGAAAGAACTACAACTACCACCACCTACAGAACAGCAACAACTCCTCTTGTCACAGGAGCGTGCTGGTCAGTAATCATACAGCTCAAAGTTGGAGTTAACTTTTCATTAGCAAAAATGCGATCTCCACAGACTTGGCTGAATGTCAGGCCTCATGAACACAGCAACTCATTCCTGGTGGTATTACTTTGTGAAAATCAGTTGCCAAGATTGAAAGTCCCCACCTCCTCACAGCAGTCTAAGTCCTCTCCTTTCCTGGAGACAGTGCCTTCATGCATCCAACCTCTCCTTTGCCCTTTTCACCCCTCTTCTGGTTCTGGGAGAGGAGAGCTTATCTCAGCAAGAGGGGAAAACACCTATGACTCTTCACTAGCCTGACTCATCTCTTGACCTCACTCACTTGATTCAGCTTCTCCCTCTGATTCTTGACTTCTCTCAGACTCTCCCAGCTCACTAAGCCCTGATAGCTCTTCAGCTTCCAGCACCTCCTCTTCCTGGTCTTCTCCCTCTGACCACTCATTGTTGTCCCACCACCAGTTCCTGGGCTCTGAAACGCCTTCCCTGCGTGGTTCCTCAGCTGGTTCCTCCCACCACTCCTCTGCGTCCAACCAGTCCATGACAAATGTTGAGTTGCAGCTGAGATCACCATTCCATGTACCCCCACCCATAAACCCTTTCTAGATTGTGCTGCTTTCCACTACATATGAAGCTGCCAAGCAGGAGAGAAGTCCTTTAGGTGGGCATGCCAGGAGTTGAACCTGGAATCTTATCCTTACAAAGCATGTGCTCCATTACAGATATGCCAGGGCAAAACATGCCTCCTGAACATACAGGTTGACTTCGTGCATTTTCCCAGCAGTCAGGAAATGCAACTAGGAAATTATGGGGCCTCCAGTCTTGTGTGTTTGCTGAGAAAACCAGCAGTTGCATCATCTGCCGGGTAGAAGACGTAAAATGGAAAGTGATTGTCACTATCAGGCAAGAGGTTGCTGAGCTAATTCAACAGTCTGGTGCTACCTGATGCACGTCGCTTTTCTTAGTTCCCTTAATGGTGTTATTCACTATGCAGCCCAACAGTTCATCAACCTCTTGATAAATGCTGCTGCACGGAGGTGAAATAAAAAAATGTTCCGATTTTGTACAACTCCTGAAGTGTCAACAGTGCAAAAGATATGAAAGCAGAAACAAAATGCCCATCACTTTGTATTGTTTCCTGGAGTCCTTCTGCATCTGCCCTATTCATGCAGCAGAATGAAGTGGTGGAACAGACTTGCGCACTTCAGATCAGACTGCAGGTGGAGGAAAGCAGGATGAGCAGCTGAGTGCGCGAGGGGGCATGTGGAGATGCAAGGGCAGATCTTTCATGGGGACAAGATGGTCCTTTCCGGAGACAACCTCAGAATCAGAAAGCAGAAGGAACATGGTTCAAAACAAAACCGAAAGCTAGATTATTGGTGTGGGTGGGTGGGTGGATGTAGTTAATCAACTTCAGCCACAAACTGCTTAAAGTATTTTGGAGGGAAGCATGGGTTGGCTGGCTAGCACCCTAAACAGGATCCTTCCTGCTAGGGGGGCTGGGGAAATATTGGAAGGTTTTGTTCTAGAACCCACTTGTAGCAACTGGAATTTGTGTTGTGGGCAGAGGCACCGGCTTGTGAGGGCAATGTGACACTGATGTCCTGAGCAGTCTTGTCAGGAGGAGGCAGGGGCAGAGCTGAATGCTGCAGCTGTGCAGCTTCAACGGTGGGCAATTCCTCCTGATGCCACCACCAGTGGGAGGCTGCTTCAACCACCTAGGCCCAGTATACCTGAAGGAGCGTCTCCACCCCCATCGTTCAGCTGGGACACTGAGATCCAGCTCCAAGGGCCTTCTGGCGGTTCCCTCCCTGCGAGAAGTGAGGTTACAGGGAACCAGGCAAAGGGCCTTCTCAGTAGTGGAGCCCACCCTTTGGAAAGCCCTCCCAGCAGATGTCAAGGATATAAACAACTATCTGTCTTTTAGAAGACATCTGAAGGCAGCCCTGTTTAGGGAAGTTTTTAATGTTTGATGTTTTATCATGTTTTTAATATTCTGTTGGGAGCTGCCCAGAGTGGCTGGGGAGGCCCAGCCAGGTGGGTGGGGTATAAATGATTTATTATTATTATTATTATTATTATTATTATTATTATTATTATTATTTCCTTCCATAGCAGGAAGAGGAGTCGACCACTGGAGCCATGCTGTGCTTGGCTCCACACTTTGCTTCTGCACTTTTTGGATGTTGTGGGGCTTGGCCCCTACTTCGAAAATATTTGGGGGCTGGTGTCCCTGCTTGACAATGTAAAAAGAGAGGGGAAAGTCCTTGCAAATTATTGTAGTTGTGTTAGGCATTCACAAGAAGTATCACATGGCATGCTGGGAGGGGGGAGGATAATATATTGATTTTAGCAACTAGTAAGTGGAAAGAGACTCATGATCACATCTTATCTGAGGCAAAGACCAGTATGAGATACTGATTTAGAATGTCCGCTGATGAATAACTTGGGATAAGCTAAACTAAGCATGCATAAATGCTACAGTCCTTAGGCATAATTCTATTGATCTGTGTCTGTCAGAGACTGCAGGGCAGCTCACATAACTGAGATAACCAAGTGAATACTCGTGGGCAAGGGAGACTTCAAGTGTCCCAACGGTCAAAATGACAGCAAATGAATTCAAACAACAGCTTTCTCGAACACCATGGATCTAAATTTGAGCGGGTATGAAAAAAGAAACCACCCGCACAATATTGAAATGCAACAGCCCCAACAGAAGTTGCGAAGCAATCGCTAAGCGTATCAATGGAGGATCAATAATATCACAATGCTCATCCCTCGCCACTGTGTGCTTTACCTATACTGTCAATAGAGCTGCAAGTGGCCTGTATAAGCTTATATCAATGAACAGAGCCCTACAGTCTGCTGCAGTAATTGAACAGAGGTCTTTAGACAACCAAGCATTGCATCTTCCTGCGAAGTTTTTCTCATGTACTGAAAACAAAGCCACACTCATAATGGCTCAATATGGAGGTTACTGCCTGTAAATCTTCCGACACGTGCACACTGCTCTTTTTTTTAAATCCTTCCCCACATGAACCTGAGGCTGAGAACAAGCAGAGAGAATGTTCTGCCTCATGTCAAAGAGGAGGGGCAAAAAACTACCCTTCCCTTCCTTTAACTCCAAAGTTATTGTGGGCACTGGGCAAGGGACTCTGAAAAAGCCCTGCTCCGTATCCTGAGAGCTCTGGAGAAGCCCTGTTGGACTCTGTAGGAGAAGGGAACTTGTGGTCCTCCAGATATTGTTGGACTCCTCATTCTCATCATCCCTGACCATTCAGCTGTGCTGGGGGAGGTGGGGGTTAAGAGTTTGAGCACATCTGGAGCAACACAGGTTCCCCACACCTGAACTAGGGCTTCCTTTCTTGACACAGTTCATAAACCCAAAGGGCAAGGGGACCTAGGGAGCCCCAGAGCTGTGCCCTCAGAGCTCCAGTATACAATGGCCAGGCCCATTTGCCTGTAGGGTAGAGACATTCTGGAGGAGCCCTGGTGCCACAACCATGAGATCTGGCAATGTGGCTGTAGCCACCCCAGAGCTTGCATCCACCAGCTTGTGAAGGAGAACCAGCACCCCACCTCTAGCAGGCTGTATTAGGGTCCCGTCCACCCCTTCCTTTGCCTTTCCCCCTGCAAGTCACTCTGATTGTTCTTCTCAGGCCTCACTTATGAAATGCTGGAGCTGGTTTAACTGCATGACCTTCAAGTCCCTACAACAAAACCCTGGAAATTCGAGGCTGAACGTGGATTGTTGGTGCCTATTCCACCCTGTGTGCCCAAAATTAATGTATGGGACTCCTCATGCAAAATGCCAGCTGAGCAACCTGTACACTTCTCTGAGAACTATTTGCATTCTAGCTGTTTTTATGTGCAATGAGTCACTGAATGCATTACCTAAACTGGTTCACATGGCCAATAGTTTGAAAACTCTTGCAATGGCCCACAGAAGATGACCCTGTCTGGGCCTATTGGAGACTTCATTGGGTTCTGCTCTTGGTGCACCATGTGCTGATAACTAATTGTGGAATTTCTCTCAGGACTGATTTGGGAAGATATCTTAGGCAGACTCTAATAGGAATCCATGATCCAAACCACAAATGTATCAGGGTAGCAAATGTATTGCCCTCCAGGTGTTTTGGACTACATCTCCCATCAGCCCTTGTCGGAACAGCCAATGGACAGGGATTATGGGATCTGTAGTCCCAGACATCTGAAGGGCTTGATGTTGTATACCCCTTGCATACATAATCACGGGGCCACTTGAAAAAGTGATGTGAATGCTAAAGGTTTTGGTGAAACCAGGTTTTAAGAAATCAGAAGCAGTTCTATGGGCTAAATTTCACATTTCTCAACTGCAAAACTAAAAACAAACACACATGCAGCTTCAACACTGGAGCTGTTACATACACTGAAGCTTTATTGCTCCACCAATGTTCTTGGCAATACTACTATCCATATTGAACAGGTAACAAACATTACAAACCTGTACAAGAACGAAGTAGCGCTTTTTCCACCTTTTCCAGACCTTCTGCCCAAGTGCATACAAATACCTGCCAAGTAAAAAAAAAAATCATAATTTAAAATGTTACACTAAAACGACTCTCAATGGCATATTAACAACACTATTTGAGCTCCTTTTGACTTAAGCACTTGATTTTTGTTTTACCCTCTATCCACCTGCCCTTAAAATTCCTGTATAATTTTCTGCGTGATACGCTTACAATTTTATTTTCAACTCAAGTATGATACAGAATCTTTTCAACCATCTTGTAAAGCAAGTCAGTATTGTCTTCCATGGGGTTAAGATTTGCTGAACATTACCTTGTTAAGTTTATTGGTGAGGCAAATTTTAAACTGGTGACTTCTTGGCTCACCACTGTGACTTCAGTGTGGTCGGCCTTCGGGACGTTGGTTAAAATCCTACTATGTGAAGCAGACCTCCGCGTGCCAAACTACAGTGGTACCTTGGGTTAAGAACTTAATTCGTTCTGGAGGTCTGTTCTTAACCTGAAACTGTTCTTAACCTGAGGTACCACTTTAGCTAATGGGGCCTCCTGCTGCTGCCACACCGCCGCTGCACGATTTCTGTTCTCATCCTGAAGCAAAGTTCTTAACCCAAGGTACTATTTCTGGGTTAGCGGAGTCTGTAACCTGAAGCGTCTGTAGCCTGAAGCGTCTGTAACCCGAGGTACCACTGTACAGGCTGTTTGTCTGCATTGCCGACTCTAGTTTTTCTGCAATTCACCTGCTGTTTATTATAACAGTAGGTTTCTATTCTCCATCAAAATTTTACTCATGATGGTGCTTCTTCTAAACACTAGAAGAACACTTGATGTATTTGTAACATTTTGTATGTCAAGATGTAGTTAATTACACAAGGGGAAATAGCAGTTTGATAAGAAAGTCTACGCTGATAAAATGCTTCAAAGACCAAAAAAAAAATACCATATTTTTCGCTCTATAAGACGCACCAGACCACAAGATGCACCTAGTTTTTAGAGGAGGAAAACAAGAAAAAAATATTCTGAATCTCAGAAGCCAGAACAGCAAGAGGGATTGCCGCGCAGTGAAAGCAGCAATCCCTCTTGCTGTTCTGGCTTCTGGGATAGCTGTGCAGCCTGCATTCGCTCCATAAGATGCACACACATTTCCCCTTACTTTTTAGGAGGGGAAAAGTGAGTCTTATAGAGCAAAAAATACGGTAATTCCCTGGGGAGTACAGCAACATCTGGAGGCCACAGGTCAGCTGTGCCCCACCCCAGTTTTAAGAACCTTCCTGTAAATATTAAACACAAAGCAACCCTGCTTGTTTTTGAAAAAGATCCTGTATTGTCATTCGAAGAGAAGCTTGCGTTGCGTTAAGCTTGACCTAAGATGTACACCCAAGTCTTTCCATCTAAAGAGGCATGGAGAGAGGAGAATATGGTCCAAGTGGATTCTCTACTTTTTTACACCCCTAAAAGGCTGCCACCTCTTTGCACTCAGACGCTTCAAAGAATAAATCACCTATGGAAATACAAATTGTGTGCAGTGATTCATTTTCTTCATTCACGCTTGCACAGAAGGAAGCGTGTCTGTGTGCAGGCCAATATTCCAAACACACACACTCAGGCTGCAGTGTTTACAATGGTATAAAGACCTGACCATTCCCGTACGCAAAGCAGACCCAATGCAAATAGGATTACTACTGAACTACCTTAATGTCTCAGCTGGGTCAGAAAGTCTCATACTCTTGCTACTCAAGATGAAAGGCAGGATTTTGCTGGCTTTCAAAAAAAGGAAGCGGCAAAGGAGCTATAGCCTGCCCAGAAGACCATTTGCTCTGAAAACCTGCCCTTTATTCCTTATATTAGCATTATTGAGATGTTTGCGGTGAAAGGAAAAGCATGCTGAGCAGAATGCAGAAGAGCTTTTTCCTTATTGCAACTCAAAACACTTCCCTGGCCATATGCTAGGGAAGAGCTCTGGCAAAGGAGCAGGTGAAATCTGTGATGATCCACTGGGCAAGAGATATTGGTCACAATATTGAAATGGCTGCATGGGAGAAACTATGGAACGTAGATTTGAAATTCACAGCGTGTTATACATTGAAAGAAAAATATATGAAAATGATATATAGATTATATTTATCTGCTAGCAGACTTGCAAAAATGTGTAAATCAAAATCAAATCTGTGTTGGAAATGTAAAGAAAAAGAAGGCACTTTCTACCATATGTGGTGGTCCTGTAAGAGAACCAACACTTTCTGGGAAATGATTTGCAATGAATTGAAGAAAATGTTTAAAATAACTTTTAGTAAAAAAACCAAAGCGTTTCTTTTAGGGATAGTGAACACAGAAATTCTGAAGGCCCTTAGAAATTGGTTTATGTATGCTACAACTGCAGCCAGAATGGTATTTGCCCAGAGGTGGAGGAAAGAGGATACTGTTCCAACTAAGGAAGAGTGGCCGATGAAATCAATGGATTATGCTGAAATGGCAAAATTAACGGGTGTGGTAAGAAACCAAGGGGGGGATTATAAAGGAGTGGGGAACATTTGTGGAATATTTGAAAAATCATTTGTGCAATTAAGTACATTAGTAGGGCTAATTGAAATCAAGCAGTTAAAAGAATTATTAAGCTTAATTGTAGAATAATTAAAAAATGGAGTAAAGTGGAAAAGACAGTGTTAAAAATTTAAGAGAAGAAACCACAAAATGCGGGGAAGGGTAGTCTGATATGTATTTGCATTGGAGGTATGTGATTGGAAGGTGTGTATTTGTAGACTGAAAATAAAATTTATTTTCAAAAAGAAAAGAATGTAAGTAAAGACCTTTTGGACTGGATAAAAAAAAATCTATCTTAGTTCAGTATTCCATCTTCCCCCAGTGGTCAACCAAATGGTGTTAGGAAGCTCACAAGTGGGACATAACCACAACATTCCTCTCATACACATGATATGAGTCCTCTGAGGCACACCGTCTTGGATAGGAAGAAATATAATTTCCAGTGACAGCCTTGTCCTTCATTGATTTATTGAAGCCCATTCTAAAGCTAGTTGCCTGAGCTGGTGGCCATCACACCATCTCAAGAGAGCAAATATGCATCGTGGGAAAAGGTTGCTCCTGTTACCTGTCTTGACTCTCCTGCCGTTCAGCTTCACAAGGTGACTGCCCTGAAATAGCCTGCCAACTACGCCAATTGAAATATCCCTGCAGAGCCGGCAGAGGGTTCACAGGAGTTCGGATATGGAGGAAATTCCAAAGAAAGGAGCCCAGGCACCTTCTATCATATGTGGTGGACTTGTAAAGTAGTAAGAGAATTTTGGGAGATGATATACAATGAATTGAAAAAAAAATGTTTAAAATAACCTTTTCTAAAAACAGCAACCTAGAAGCCTTTTTTTAAAAAAAAAAAAAAATTGTACGTGCTGAAATTCCAAGCGACCAGAAGAGACTTTTCATGTTTGCGATTACTGCTGCCCATTAGCCCAGAGATGGAAAGAGGAATGGCAGATTAAACTGATGGACTATGCAGAAATGGCAAAACTGAGCGGAAGAAATAGGAATCAGGAAGGCTAAAATTTCAATAAGGAATGGGGAGAATATCTAATTTCCCTAAAACATTCATTGTAAACAATTAAAATTATTACTAGGATTGGAATGAAGCTTGTAGTTAAAAGGTGGGCTATGGTTTTATCGGAGAATTAATAGAATTGGATTAACAGAGATGGTGCAGGAGAAAAAGTTAACATAAGGACCCACGAAAGGGGAGGAGGGAAGCACAAGGGAACTTATGGAAATTGTTTTTGTCAGCTTGATGACTACAATCTGAAAATTTAAATAAATTTATAAAAAAAGAAAAAGGTGGCCAAATCGCCAGATGATCAAGTCTAATGGCTTATTTAAAAAGAGCAGAAGCTTATAGCAAAGGTCCGATGGCTCCCTCCTTGCCCCTGCTCCCAGCATTCCATGGGGCGGACTCCACAGCAAGGAGATGGCTGGTCCACACCCAACCTTTATAGGCCCAGGCAGGCTACATCGCATGATTAACACAGGTGACTGGCATTGACCCTCACAGGTGGCTGATATCCCAAACATTACCTCTCCACTCTAGCTATACCTGGAGCCTGCGGCTACATCAAAGTGTATGAAACACACTTGATGTCAGGCATGGCTAATCCTCTCCTCCCTGCCGGTAGCATCAAAGGCAAGAAGAACAAGAAAGTTCGTTTTATGGGTTTTATTCAGTCATCTGGGTGCAAGACAAAGAACCCATGTCTCCACACAAGGGAGACACTGCCTAAACTGAGTCCCTCCTCTTCCGCCCCCAACAACATCCTGAGAGCCTATGTGAAGTCCCAGGAGCCACACTTCTCTGCATTCTCTGCTCTTGAATGCGAAGTGATCGATGAGATCTTGGAGAAGGAGGCCTTCCCAAACTCTCCAAGGTCTCTGCTAGCTGCTCTCCCACTCCCCCTCCTCCATTTTCAAAAAGGTTGAAAATGCCGTCACCTTTTCCTGCAGGGAAGGTATATATAGAGGAACACACCACCGCATGCAACATTATGTGCACCGCCCTGTATTTTAAAGCAAACAATACAAAATGGCTGCTCTTTACCCAGTACATCTGTATACATGGAGAATGCCTTCCGCCCTGTTAAAGCTATGGTTTTCCCTGTAGTGATGTATGGAATGCCCTGTTAAAGCTATGGCTTTCCCAGTAGTGATGTATGGAAGTGAGAGCTGGACCATAAAGAAGGCTGATCGCCAAAGAATGGATGCTTTTGAATTATGGTGCTGGAGGAGACTCTTGAGAGTCCCATGGACTGCAAGAAGATCAAACCTATCCATTCTGAAGGAAATCAGCCCTGAGTACTCACTGGAAGGACAGATCCTGAAGCTGAGACTCTAATATTTTGGCCCACCTCATGAGAAGAGAAGACTCCCTGGAAAAGACCCTGATGTTGGGAAAGATCAACATCACAAGGAGAAGGGGACGACAGAGGACGAGATGGTTGGACAGTGTTCTCGAAGCTACCAGCATGAGTTTGACCAAACTGCAGGAGGCA